TGCTCTTTTCAAAAACACCCCTGGCGCGAATTCTGATTTTAAAAGCCAATATACGTTTGCGACCTTTGCTGCCGTCGATGATCTTAGCGGACCTGTTAGGAAAGAGACGTTTACTTCAAAGGGTCCAAAAGGTCATGGTTTGTGATTGGTGGATCTCGATCCGTTTTGTGTCTTTCTGTATTTCAAGTCACGTGATCGTAATTATGATTGACGGCAGTCATTCTCGTCCCTTAGCCACTCGGCTTAATTGTAACGACCACGTGACCAAGAATCGACGGGTTCTGGGGACGAGAATGGACGGCAGTGAAGAACGCATTAGGCCATTTCGGAGTTCCAAAAAATCTCACTTTCAAAGCGAGGCTAAGTGCGAAGCTATTGATATGAAAATGATTTTTAATTATGATGCAAATAAAAATCATTTTCACAACAAAGGTTTCGCACTTAGCCTCCTTTTGAAAGTGAGATTTTTTGGAACTCGGAAATGGCCTGTGAAGGTGGCTTCTGAACTTCAGAGTTTGCGTGTTTTTGAAAAGCGCAGTAAGTCTAACATTTTTGTATATTGAAAATGTAAAAGCATTCAAAACTTCGAGTTTATATAAAAATGCGAAAGCTTCGAATGTTCCGTGAATCGAATGTTTATCACCGCTGTTTATGTTTATTTTTGATCAACAACAACCGTCTCAGGCGTTAGACCGTGGTGCTCGCAAGTAGACAGGCGATATTCACGCGCGATAACTTCTGAATTCTCTCACTCAACTAAGATAAAGGAGTACTCATATAGTAAAGCAACTCGCAGTACGTGCCCGGGAAAAGAAGTAACTTTTAGAGACCTAGGTGGTTTAACTCATGCGGAACGAAAGAGCGTAAGCGAACCTAGCGGAACGGCTCACCAATTAAAGAACCCCGACTGATGCGATCAATCACATAAGAGCGTGTACTCAGTGAATGATATAAATGATTAAAAATGTACAATGTCGTAAGTTTCTGAATTTCGCCATAATGCCCTATGATGTACGTGGACTAATATCTGGGAGCCACGAGACCGTTTAATCCTACTTTCCCATCGCTCCAGATTGTTCCATCTGATGAAGCTCCTTCAAAACAGGGTCTCAGTATTTTGTTAGTTCAGCCTTAAAAAAAGCCATTTCTGAATTAATAGTATTTTCTGCGTTTAAACAGGGTTAATCAGGGAACAATACCAATATTAGCACTGAACTCCGCGACATGCGCATAACCATATCACGCCGGCCGGTGGCAGCCATGGACAGCTGTTTCGCCCTTATTGGGGTTCTTCAGCATGTCATAGCCGTCGGACCTCTGTACGGACAAAGCCGTTCTCAGAGGCCCGTTACTGTTGAGGAGAACGCGGCTTAATTCGTACAGAGGCCCGACGGCTATGCCCCATGCTGATGTGCCCTAGTAGGGGCGAAACAGCTGCCACTGTCGGGGTGATATGGTTGTGCGCATGCGTAAGGTAATGACCATACCGCAGAAGTGGTACGTGTGGGTCAGTGCTATTAAAATATTGGTATTGTTATAAACAGGGAACCATGGACCAAGATATCCGATGAGTACCGTCTATTAGGGTTTTAGATTGACTAAACATTCACTGACCGTTCGATGAATCTTATATTATTCTTTGTTAACAGTTGTAATTTCGTCGGCTTGCTAAGATACTTGGTCCTTTTTGGTATGGTGCGTGGCCCATGTCATTACTAAAACGCGCGCAAATCATGGGACATTTTTTAATAATGGAACTTCAAAACGAACAGTTTAGGCTTTTAGGCATCATTCCTTTGTTCTAGATGATGGATTCAATTTCTCGTAAATGTTTATTTCGAGACTATTGAGACCTCATCTGAATAGGCGCATTGTCCATAGAAATGACTGGTAAGGAAAAATGACAGTGTTTAGTAGCCAGGCCTATCTCTCTTTATTGGATTTACCTGTCACCGGCCCAGGTCACCTGCCCGTCACAATCTCCAATCATCCTAAATCAAATAAAAATAAACGAACAGAGCAACTGAATTTCATTTATCACAACCAACCATCGGCTTTGGGATGTACCTTTCTGAGTGATATATTGTCAATTTTTACTTTTTCTGGTGGATAACGCAGCGCTACAAGAACGCAATGTACCCAAAGGAGGAGAGCCCTTGTGATGATGTTCGCTTTTCTCCAGGCTTTTTCTTCCAATGCAGCGGTTGGCTCTTCAGTCGGCTAAAAAGATACAGCCTCCCCACGTCAAGGTACGACAAGTTTCCAAAGAGTAACACTTACTAGGTGTTATGGTGGTTTGTTGAAATTAGACTTAGAAATCGGCAGTATTAATCATTAGATTTATCTCTCGCGGAATACACCAAAAATTCCAGCTTACTTTCTCCTGATGATCAGAAGAAGCTCACCTAAGAAATATGCTGGGAAATTTGGTCACTTTTGTGTGACAGAAGAAGATACCAAACCTAACATGTTAATGAAAGGAAGTACTAATTAAACTGAATCAAGACCAATGAGAACTACAGGAAAAAGGAAAGAATTTTTATTTTCTGTAATTCACACGGCCAAGCTGGAATCATTCCGTAGAAAAATATCGCTTCTTCATCTCGAGCTCGACACGTGAGTCTTAAAGTCCAGAAATGTGGCAATGACAAGAACGTGACCATCATAATACAGTGGAACATAACGGACCTTCATATAACGAAGTCCTCGATATAACGAACGATTTTCTTTACCTCAGTAGTAGTAAAATATATGGAAAAGAACCGCGAATGTAATGAAACCTCGTTATGGCAAACAAATTTGCCAGTCCCTTGGCACTTCGTTATGTAGAGGTTCCACTGTGCTCCGGTTGGTTGTCTTTTGTACGTGCGCTGACAACACATGATGCACGTCGCGTGCGCGGAAGAAAAGTCTAAAAAACTCACACCTTTTTTTCTTTGGGTCGTGAACTACACCACACTTTTAAATGTCAGGAGTAAATTTTTTCCTTATCCTTATCGAGTGTCATCCGTGTAAAGAAAAACTAGAGTTTAATCACCAAATTTGGAAAAAGTTGTGTGGAACGCTCTAAATCACGCGCTTGTCACTGGATCTCTACCACTTTGATTGCACAACCAATCGATTTACGCTGTAAATTTTCCCGCCAACTTTTCACCAATCACGTGTACGCAAAGGGTGTTTTGGAACGTCATGTGACCCGGATGAAATTGTGCTTCTCTTGTTGAATGCTCGTGTGTTTTGTAGGATATGAGGTTTATGAGGGGAAAAAACTGCCAATGTTATCCAAACTCTTCTCTTTTGGTCACCGAAAAGCCGGGAAAAAGCACAGCGATGCCGAGACGTAAGCATCATTATTCGACAGCCTAATTTTTCGTTTTAGAACGTCGTAACGGCCCTTAATAATTTTATTGTATTCACGTTTCGCAGCGAAGCAGACGAAAAAATTCATGGGACAAAGAGGTAAATGTTAGAGGGAGGCTAATGGTTTTTATTTTTGCCAAGTATTGTAGATTTATTGTTTGATGCGTCACAGGCACGACAAGTTACAGTCAGTTAATTGGGAATGTCAGCCATGTTTAATTTCTTTAAGGAGTGATGGTTTCGTGACCGATGGTTTTGCGGACCACAATGTCTTGTAGTGTAAGCTTACGTACTATTATTGATTTTACAAGTGTTACTACTGAGTAAAGTATTGAATCGACACCATAAATGCGTTTGAAACCCTTCTTCACTTGTTCGAGGAAACGACAAATAAGCTTACCAAAGTCGCTCCATAAGAAAATTTCTCTTCTACTCGCTTTTTATCGCAGTGATTGAGCTACAAGACAGATTGACAAATTCATGCGCATTCAACTTTTACTAGCGTAATGTTTTCAACTACAATAAGTCTGAGGTAGCCAGTGATCTAAGAATTTTCGCAGCATGTAACGTATCGGCTGATTCTATTCAGGTCAAAACAGAACAGCAACAAATAAACCCATCCGGTGTCTTCCTTATTATAACTTAGTTTATCAGTGTAATTTGTCTGGCCAAGTGGTTCACTAATTTATGTGAATTTTGTTTTATTTTATAAAATGGAGATCGATTAGCCAAAATTAATGGAATTAATGAGCCTCGTGACTCAAGATGTCAAAGAGGCTGCAGACGTTCCTGATCCCAAGAATCTGCTAACCTCAGATTATGAGGCATTTTTCCAATTTGATGATTTATAATCTTAATAACATGAATACTTTACATTTTTCTCTATTGTTTTATATCCACAATTAATGTTTCGAGATCTGTGGGAACAAAGGTTGATTGTGTGACAAGGTTTTTTAGAGGTTTAGTAATTTTTAGATGCTGATTTCCAGGATTAAACTTCTTTAACTTTAACTTGTTGACTGGTGTTGACATGATTATTTTTACTAAATCAGAATAATAATTTTCAGTACATTAATCCTTTTTTTTATCTTAAAACAATTGTCTCAGACGTCGAGGCTGGTGAAGCTTTGCCATTATTGGGTAACAAAATACTCTAATGTATTATTTTGCTTAGGGGCCAACCATTTGGGGTTATGTTGATCTGGTTTGCATAAGAATTTATTTCCCCAAATCTCTGGTGGTAGAATTTTTGCCCTATTATACAAAGCCATTGTATGGCAGGTATTTCCTTGCAAGATATTTTTCACCCAAAATCAATCTGCATGATATTTTTTTCTGGAATGCCTTGAAAGTAAACAAAACACGATTTGCAAAAAAAGGAAGTGAAATTTGAATGACAAGGTGGAACAAACGACAGTTCACTTTTAACAGCTTTCAAATGTCCTGTGAGTTGTAGGGATCTGAAATTATAGCATAAAAGTATGGCCTCAAGCAATTATTTGCACATGTACATGTATGTTCTTCTTTAGATAATTGCTAATGATCATTAACTTTCATATTTGACAAGGCAGCTTAGATAATAATATTTGGCACAGTTGTGCGAAACATTTTGTTATTATTGTACAGTGAAGAATTCCTATACTACAGTTGTACTTTTTGTCCCGTTGCTAACTTACTTTGAGAATATTTATACATTTGGGACCATATGAAACCTAAAACTCAGAGGAGCTAATTATGTTTTCATTTTGGACTAATCATGTTTATGATATTGTAAAAAGCAAGAAAAAATATTTTTGTTTTAACTGGAATGAGTACATGCTTGTATGATTAAATGACCACCTCTTTAATGCAACGATATTTTCATGGCCCCTGTATGTTTTTACTACTTTCTTACTGTTTTTGTTCATGACTGGAGAAGTAAAAATGGCTGAAAGTGGCTGTATTAGAGCTGTATACATTGTAGGTTTGGTCAGAAAAAAAGTACTTAAACTACATATACGTATATGTTCTAGTTAAGTTTTTATCTCAGGTAATTTTTATTTTTCTTTTGTTTCAACTTCATTAGCATACATTACCATACCCAAAAACAGAAAAAAAAATTACTTGAGATAAAAAATTAACTACAACATATACATGTACATTTATATAGCAGAGGAACATGGCAGATTGATTCATTCATTCATTCATTTATTCATTTCTTTTTTGCCATTAACTAAATACAAATACGACAACAATATACAGAAATTTATAGTACACTAGAGATAATATATACTATTCTAACTAAATTATTTACAAAATTAGATGTTTAAATTGGTAATGACAAGAAAGCCTATATAGAAGCCATGGGCTTAGAAACTATAGATTCATGTAGAAGTGCTATACTAGCTAGGAGACAGGACTGATTAAGGTAGAGGGAAGTTCAAGAAGGGAAGGAAACTTAATTTGGCATTTTTCCTTTCTTCTTTTTCAAGGCCATTTCCTCAGTTGGAGCAGGATAAGATAAGAGTCCTGGTGTTCAGAGATTGTGATCGCAGGGGAAAAACCTTGTTGTTTGATTCTAATGCAGTTGCCTGTCAGCAGGTAAGAAAATTTATAGCAATCATTTTAGTGTTATATATTACTGTTACGATAATTAACAAAGACTTTATTTGCTGTAAATGTACTTCTTTTCTTGGTTGGTTACAGTCATAATGGCTTTTTATGATTGTTCTACTTACCCTATTGTTCACAAGTGTCTCATCAACTTCCTAAAAAAAAGTTGATTTACTCTACTAATAGTTTGTCTGTTCATTACAGGATGCATGCCATAACAAGGGCCATGATGTGGAAAACAAGAGGCTATCTGGAGGACCAAAGATGGACACTAAACAAGGAAACAAGTCTCCAATGTCAAGACCTAAATTACAGGTTTGTATCTAATGCTCAAGCAGGATACATACATTTAATAACAACAATATCAATGTATTTGCCAAGTTTGATTTTGTGGACTGCTTTTCATAGGTCTGCTACTATTTGCCTTGTTGTTGTGATCTTAAAACTGTGAATTTTGCATTTGTAGGAGACATTTTGCATCCTTCTTCAAAGTTTCTCCTGCTTTTTTTGGTCTTAACCTGTTTTCACTTGCTATCAGCCTTGTGCTAACTATATCACATGATTTCCAGAACCCACGACCGAGTCATGATGCTAAAATGCTGGGAGAAATGATTTTTGGATCAGTGGCAATGACATACAAAGGGCAAACAGTCAAAGTTCATGAAATAAGGTATGCCTTATTCCACAAAGCATGATGGCAGGCATGACTAGCATCTGCTTGTCTTAACTGGCTGTGTTCTCTTTATTGGCAAGCAATAAACTTTATATTACTCTGCTTTTTCATGTGTATTTGTATCAAGAGCACAATTTGTTAATGATTGCTGTTGTTCTTGTGATTTTTTAAATTTTATTTAACTTCCTCAGGTATTGACACCCTGTACACCCTGTATGTTTTATATGTAGTTTGTGTGAGCAAAAGCTTTGGTTTAGAACAGAAAATTTGCCTGCATTGCAGAGCTGATTTTGTTAGGTGTCTTTAATGAAAATAGTGCATGGTGTAGCGGGATGGTTACTTGCAGCCATGTAATCACTCCACCAATGTTATTTCATTGGTACAAAAATTCATATGTGTTCAAGGGAGATTATATTCATCTGCAAAGATTAATGATAGTCTCTCTTAACATTGTGCAGACATAATATTGTCTGATCACAAGTTTTTGTTGGACATAGGCAAGTTTAGACAGACATTGACTGTTATCTGTAGCTGTGGTATTGTGTAGACTTACTTAATGATCAGGTGTAAACTATGAAATTTTCAGAACACCACACCAGCTACTTCTGACCAATGTGTTTGCTGTTAAACCAAGAATTGTTATGCCCAATTGTTGGTAAGAATTGTTCATTTTGACTGGTCAAATTTGTTAATCTGTAAAATAATTATGATGTGAACAAGTACTGCAAATGCAAAAAATATATATTTTTTTACCATTGTCATCATCATTACATTTTATCATTTTTGGTGAATGTGGATGCGATCCTACTAATTACACTGTACTATGATCAGTCTACATGTAAGAAGTTGATAACAACTTGGTAGTTAAACTGGAATCTCTTTCTTTCCCAAAGTCTTTTTTAATCAGCTATACATGTATAGTGTAGGTTGATCAAATATTATATACTTCATACTGCATATACATCTTTTTCTTTCATCTGCATTTCACCCATATGATTTATATCTTATACAGAGGAATCCTGGATTCTTGAACCCTTGGTTTCTTTAAACTCGTGATACTTTAATCTACCTTGTTTACTCTGAACCATACCTTTTCCCTTGGAGTTTGAAGAAATTGGGATTTTACTTAATGCCCATTGTGAGTGACTCTATAATTAATCAGTAATAAGTACACACCAAATACAAATATGGCAGACCTCTCGGCCAGCCTGGGTCCAGTTGTGCAAAAGCTAGGCTAGTTAGGCCTCAAGAGTTTTGTTTTGACTGCTCGTCTTAGCGATTGAGTTGATAGATATGGTTTCCTTCGAGTTGTTGCGTACCTGAGTGCCACCAAAGAGGAAATTTTACTCTAGCTGGAAGTACCTTTACTTTTCCCAAAATCTTTTCACAAAGAAGGTTAAGGATTCATGCGATTCAGTGCTGCGATGGAAAGCACTTTACGGCGAAAACGCAAGTGTGCTCGCTTCACTTGCTTTAGAAGAGAGGACTCACAAAAGTATTTGAATGAAATAATTTTCACAGGAGATGGTGCTGTTCCATGATGTTTGCATGGTCTTTTATTTATCTAACAAAAGGTGAACATTCTCGAGATTGGGAGCATCCACTGTCGACTTTACATGTTCAGTTTTCACGCTGGAAACAGCTGCATGAAATATAACAACAGTGATGAGTGTGAATGAAACACAACAATAATAAGCACCTGTTCATCGTACAAGTATGGCCTGTGAAACCATGTAAGAACCAGAAGAATTAGCAACATGTTTGAAGAACAGTCCTTTGATCAAAGTCCGCTGAAAGAACTAACAAAGGAACTGTCGCGAGCTAAGAAAGTAAGAAGAAGGAAAAAGGTTTTGGCAGGGAAAGAGTGTGCAAGTATTCAAGCATTGTATTTGCCCTTACGCATAATCTATTTTTAATTAGCAACTTGTTGAAGGGTTTTGAGATAAACTAACAGCGGAAGTAACAGAAGTGTCCCTGAGAGCTCCTAAGGATTGTTAAGTTGGAACGGCGAACTCACTCGTTCTCAAGAATGTTTACCTTTCCTTGGTAAGAGAACAGACAAAGCGAACTTGAAACAGAACCATTTCTCAGGAATTCTCCCATTCCAAATAGTTTTGTGAGTCTTCTCTTCTGAAGTGAAGTGAGCACTCTTTCGTTCTTTTAACTCGGTGATAGTAAAGTGCTTCCATTCCTTGCACCGAATTGCTTCAATCCATGTCTTTCTTCCTAAAGAACCTTGGCAAAGGGAAGATAATCAACTTTCGTTTCTGGTGGAGTTAAATCTCCTCTTTGATGCCTCTTAAGCAGGTAACATATCGATGCAAACCATATCGATCAACTCAATACACCGATTCAGCCTAAGACCGGAAGTTGCATGAAAGCGAGGCCTAAGGGCTATCGTTCGCGCGAATCTCATAAACATGGCGTCTTCAAGTAAACAAAAGAATTCGAGTCACAAGTGTTGCGCGGCTGTTCTTTGCAATAATCATTCAGATAACCGACCAGAATTAATTTTTCATAATTTTCCCTCTGGACGAAAGTCTTAAGAAAATCTGGGATCAAAAGTGAAGCGTGGCGACAAAAAATTGGCCTCGAACAGCTCACTCTTCTGCTGTTCTGAATATTTTAGTGAGAAGGACTACAGGAAAAGCCTTACCGGCAAAAGATGTGATCTTGTAAAGAATGCTGTTCCTTCCATTTTCCCATGGTCAGTTGGCAATGACGAAGCCTCTGAAAGGTCCGAAAGAGCCAAAAGTCGGGAATGCCAAAGGATTAAACTTTCTGCGATCCCATCCAAGAGTATGGAAAATAAACATCACCCATACGATGCACCTGACATCTCTGCAATGGACACTCAAGACGAAGATTCAGGTGAAAAACCATTAGATGAAGAGAGAGACTTGGTTGCCGAGAATTATGAACTTAAACAAAAGCTGTTTCTTTCAAAATTTGGTTTGGAGAGGTTTGGATCGAATGATGATGACATATTTTTCTACACAGGATTTCAGAGTTACCGAGCTTTGATGGCATTTTGGAACTTTATTAAACCTTGCTCTGAGTCGCTGATGTCGTGGAACACAGCACGCGGAAAAGTTTAAGAAAGAAACAATGCTAATCCATTTCCTTTTTTGCAAGGACAGGAGAAACAAAGAAATAGAAAGAGAGAAATAGAGCCCATCGATCAGCTGTGGTTGTTTCTAACAAGGGTGCGTCTTGGCTTATTCGAGCGTGACTTGGAAAACAGATTTAGTGTCTCTGTAAGTACAGTGTCTGATGTTTTTATTACTTGGGCAAACTACCTTTACATAATGTTGGGAAGTTTGCCTTTATGGCCTTCAAGAGACAAAATAAAACAACACTTGCCAGATTCTTTTAAAGGAAGGTATGAAAACGTACGTGGAATTCTTGATTGCACAGAGCTGAAATGTGAGTTGCCCAAGGATTATCAGAAGCACTCAGAAATGTACTCAGACTATAAATCTCACGACACATTTAAAGGGCTCATCTGCATTTCACCGAGTGGATGGATAACATTTGTTAGTCAGTTGTATCCAGGGAGAATAAGTGATAAGGAAATTGTGGAGAAGAGTAACTTCTGTCAGTTAATTGAAATGGGGGACCAGTACCTTGCAGACAAGGGCTTTGAGATCCATGACCTAATGGCCCTCAGAGGAGCAAGTTTATATATTCCTCCAAAGAGATTTTCTGCCAATGACCAGTTCACACAAAGCCAGTGTTTTGAGACCATGAGTATAGCAAATGTGCGTATTCATGTTGAAAGAGCAATTAAGCGAATCAAGGCTTGGCATATTTTTAGTCAAGTTCTGCCTCTTTCCAGCTTTGGGTCCATAAATCAGATCTGGACTGTATGTGCTTTGTTAGTAAATTTTCAATATCCAATTATTTCAGTTTAAAGAAAGGAAGCTTTCAGTATTTTGGAAGGGATGGGTTCTTATATCAGGGAACTAACAAGTGTGTTTTTTAGGAATTGAATGTTAAACTAAAGATTCTGAAGCTGTTCAGGTCTTGTTACTTTGTATAAGTCTCTGGTTTGGGTTTTTTCAATAATTGGAGGACTTGATATGTGAAAAAGTGAATGCAAAAATAATATTATTCTATCAAATGCACATGGGTAGATTGGGTACTCAGATTTAAAACTGATGGAGACTGGCTGTGCTTGAAGAAAATATATTTGTTATAGTAATGATGATGGTGATAATAATATAGAAAATAAAACCAAAATTTGTCTTTTCTTCAAACCTAAAAGTCTATCTGTAAGACAAATCCTAAAAAATAACGGTCAAAATTTTTCAAAAAATAATACACAAAAATATCTAGTTTCACCTTCCCTACCACCACCATCCCATCACTTGTAAACTATAACTTGAATACCATTCCTTGTGCTTTAGAACATACTAAAGCTCTTATGCAGACATTTGGTTAGAGTCAACTTGTATTTTCCAAGAAACTAATAGTGTTGCTTTGCAGTTCTAAAAACACTCACTGTTTTTATTTTGAGATATATTTCTTGTGAAAAGCAATTAAACTAGGCTTAATTTCATCCTCCCACCTTGAGGATGATGTGACCTTGAGAACCAAAACTGGAAATGTGTTGTTAGTAAATATGACAAAGTCAGTTAATGGAATTCCACTGACCCCCATTTGCATCTGAGTCTGAAACCAATATTTGTGCTTTTCTTTTACTACAAAGACAGAGTTCAGTTCCATAAATGGGAAACTGCTTTCCTTTTGATGATTATTTATTGCAGTCTCTGGTGACATATCCTGCTTGGACTCTAAACATTTTATTTCCACATTTCTGTATTCAATGTCACCATTGGCATACACTATTGTTGCAATTCTGTCAGGACTTGCTGCAAGAACATCATTTTCTTTGTCTAAAATTAATCCAATCTCTTGAACTGTCACTTCCTTGATGTCTGGCAATGACAAGAGATATTCTTTGTACAAATCAGCTGCCACAGGTTCATTTTCAATACCAAAGATCAATCCTTTACTTTTATAATTAAGATGTTTAGCTGGTGAATAGCTGACCATTTTTGGGGGTGCTCCTTTTGCTGTATTTTTTTTTACTAGATTTTCTGGTAATTTTGACCCCTGTTTTTGCATATGAGAAAAGACATCTTTACAGATACTGGCAGTTATTCTGTTTTGCTTTTGTTCAAACCAAGCAGGATTCGTTGATTGTCCTCTTGTTGCCATTTCAATTTGCTTTTGCTTGTCTGTAAGAGTTTCAATAAATAATGTTTCTGTTTGGACTGTTGGCTGTTGTGCTTCGGATGGATCAGTTGTACTTTCAATAAAACTTGAAATATTCTGTTCTTGCTGTTGGTTATTAACATTACAATCTGATATCTGCTGAAGCTGTAGCTCATCATAATCATTAGAAGGAGTGCTAAGGGGTCCCATTTCTGATTCACACTGCACAGTGGAAGGTGGAGCAGAGATTTCATGATTCAAACTTGAATTTGAATTCAGTGCTTGCCCATTTGAGACAGGATTCACATTTTCTTTACCAGCAAGGGAGGAACTACTAAAATACGATACTACCAAATTTTGAGGCTGCCGGAATAATCTTGAAGTTGCTTATGAATTGTTGAACCTTTAGCAACAGTGCCAACTATAGTCATTACTGTTTGAATTGTCTTTTCCTCTGGTAACATAGCAGCAAAGGGTATACGAGCATTTATTTTCTGAAGATCGTGCCTCAGCTTTACAATTCCATCAGCATCAAGCTTCTGTGATTTCAATGGTCTGGGATCGTAAAACTGAGAGTCAATACTCCTTTTCTTCCTACCAGGTAAGTCAGACGCATGTCTTGGTTTCGTTATTTTTAAAGCCATCACTGGAGAGAACTCTACTTCTCCTCTACCCTTTTTTCCCCATTCCCTCGGTTTTGATGTGCAGCATCTGTTGTCAGGAGTGATATTTTTTAGCTCTGACTTTCTCGTCATGTCCTCAAGTTTCCATATGAGCGCCATTACATGACAACAACACCCACTGTTGGAAGCCGGACACTGCCTATCACACTTTGCTGCTAGAATCTTTGGGGTCCCACTTTGTTTACAAACCATTTTCACCTTGTATTTAACATTCCTCTTATAGGAAGCCCAACAGCAGGCACGGACGATATATGATGTTATTTTCTGTGTTATTATACACCTGTAAATCGTGCACAAAATTGACCATACGGAGGCCTTTGTCATTTGAGTTTATAACAACTGCTGCATTGGTAAATTTTTTCATGGATTTACCAGAATTTTTTACCTGCTCAAAGGCATCCATAGGCACAAATGGGGGCAAAACAGAAAAGTCCTCTGAAAATTGAGTGTTTTCATCCGGTGGGAAAGTGTCTAAAATCGAACTACACGAGCTTGCTTGTTGGTCGATCAGCTCAGTCTGGACTGTTTCGATATTAAAGGTCTTTAGCTTTTCAACCTTTGCTTTCGTGTAGCTCTTCTCAGGATCAGGGTCAAAAACTTTCTCTCTGTAGTAAGGAATCGCGTTGAATGCCTTAACCCTGCCCCAGAAAGAAAGAAATCTCAAATTAAAAGCAGAAAGAAAAGATTTTAGCGAAAACGAAATTTTGTTGACTAGCGTGGAAGGTTAGATAACATTGTTTATATAATGCAGGTGCTACGAAACTTACTTTTCGACAAGATCTTTCTTCAGTCCCTGTTGGTTCAGTCTTCTGCATTTCAACCAAAATTTTAATTGTGGAATTGTCCATTTACTTATGTCTTCTCCGTTTTTCACGGATGAACATGGAATGTCTTCTGGTGTAAGGTTTACATCAGAAGACATTCCATGTCTTCCATGCAAAGTCTCGGTGTTTTCCGCCATGATTTTTGAGATTCGCGCGAAAGATAGCCCTTAGGCCTCGCTTTCATGCAACTTCCGGTCTTAGGCTGAATCGGTGTATCGCTAAGACACGCCGTCAAAACAAAACTCTTGAGGCCTCACTAGCCTCACTTTCGCCTAGAGGTCCACCATAATTATTTGCATTTGGTGTATTATTATTACTTCTACTATTGCCACTACCACTACCACTACCACTACTACTAGTACTTATAGTAATATTAATAATTTAATACTTATTTTTGTTTGTTTAGTGATGGTAATGAGTACTTAAGTACCAGCAGCCAGGTAGACTCAATGCTTGATGACAGCACCAGAATTGACCCTGAATGTGCCTCAGTATCATCTCAAGGTAGTTTTTCCAAAGAAGATGGACTTCTAAATGGTATGTATCATCACTATCCAGTGCTCAAACATAACTTATAACATATCTACCATTTACGTAGCTACAGTGTAGAATATTGACCTAATCAAATTCAATAGCCTAATAAGCACACGTCGTCTAACCAATAACTTGAGTTCTTGTGAGTTTATCAATCCTCCCAAGTGCATCCATGTTCTTAATGTTTCACAGCATGCAAAGAAGTGCTTTTTGTAACTTACAGATATTAATTATTATACAATATTTGTATTACCATTATTTTTTTAGGAACTAAGTCTTCTAAGCCAGTGGATGTTCCTGGATCTTCACCATATCTTGTTATTGATGCTGATGGAGACAGTGGCTTCACTGCCTCAGTTGAAAGTAAATTTTGAATTTATGGATTCGAGCTTCAATACATTATATTGTTATTTTAAGTAAAGTTAATTCTTTTTGAAAAGGTTTCCATAATTTGTCAGAAGGCTGTTCATATTACTTTCACTGTCTAGCTTATATTAACAAGTAACTTCCTCTGCACTATATTTCCAAGAATAGCATTCCAGTTACAAAACACTGTATAAGTGGCCAATGTACACTGTAGATCAGAGGTGGCTGTTAGTGGAGGATCAACTGTAAATCTGATGTTATAACTGAATAAACTTATAACATCAGATTTACAGTTGATCCTCCACTAACAGCCACCTCTGATCTACAGTGTACATTGGCCACTTTTTTCAGCCGCAAGCCATATATTGACTCTTGTTTAAACTTCTTGACAACACCCACCTCCTTCTGTCCCCAAGGTGGCCGGTTTGGAGAAGTTCAACCATAGCTCTATTTTATTCTTGATTTTATGATGTTTTTCACTATATCAGTAAATGGGTAGCTTATTTAGTGTTTTCAGTGAATACTTAGGAAAGCTCGCTACTTTTCCCTAAATTGAAATACTTCCAGGTAATTAAAGAACGATTCATTCTAACCATATTTCACCTGCACATGGTGAACACTGTACTTTAAATTTGATTGAAACTCCTAAGTATTCCAATGTTCAACCTGTAGGTCACTGCAAGGAAAATACACTATTCCATTAACAGTCAAATCAGGTCAAGCATTCCCATCCCTAATGAACTAATGAATTCATTAACGGAAAAATGAGTTCATTTGTTGATTCAATAATCCATTCATAAAATGAACAATCCAATATTCACATTCAGCCTCGTTCAATAAACTACACTTTCCACAAGTTGACCTCAGAATTTTGTTCTTCCTTCTTTTTTCCTAAGAGTTGAGGGTGGGCGAGTTCTGAAGTTCAAACCCAAACAAACAGTTACATGTACACTATTCTGCTGCCAGTAATCAGTGCAACAGACCTGACCTCTTTGACAACACAGTGGTCAATATATGGGGTATTGATCCTTGGCCTTTAATAATAATAATAATAATAATAATAATAATAATAATAATAATAATAATAAGGATTTCTATAGTGCCATATCCGTAGGCTCATAGCACTTTACAACTGAATATTTCAAACTGAAAATTTTGGAGATAAAAAAAATTTACATCAATAATAAAAAACAAATTTATGAAAAATGCAAGATAAAATTAAAGATTAAAAAATTAACATTTTGTCAGCTTCTTTGCATTTGACTTTGTGGTCTGTCGATTCTAGCTGTTATTTTGATTAAAGGCAATGAAAAACGCAGTTGTAAATGGTAGGAAAAGGAAGCAAATACAAATTAACCCAACAGTTAAGAATAAAGAACAGGTAGATTTTGTTCATAAACCAAATGAACATTTCATTGTTGAATTGATCAATTTGACAATTGGATTATTCATTATTTTTATGAATGGATTATTGAATCGACAAACCAAATCATTTTTCCATTCATGAATTTATTAGTCCACTGGCGACAGGAACGCTTGACATGCTTCGACTGTAATGTGTAGTGAATAAAATAGAGGCATTTTAATATCTGCTTCCTTCTTTCAAAGGTAGCTACATGGATGAAAATCTATCATCACTATTTACTTCGGCTTCTTCACCTTCTGGCAGTTACCATCGGCGTCTTTATCGCAGTCATGCCACAAGTATTGACCGTAGCTTTGGGCGAAAAAGTGAAGAGTTATCAGAAGATGTAAGTTATCAATAAAATTGCTTTGAGAGAAAGGGCTTAAACTAAGAGTTCCATGTTGCTGGTTATGTGCAATAATATTAATAATATTATTCATGGTTAATGTCCTCTGCAAAGGAGAGACTAGGTTGTTGTGGGAGTGTGACCAAAAGCGTGATCAGGAAAAAGGCAAAGCTTTAGAAATTTATTTCCGAACATTTTGCCATAAGTCAAACACAAGAAACTTCAATCTAGAAATTTACTTGAGCAACTGTGTTGGTTGCCCCCTAAAATGGCTAATTTTTTGCCAAAACAAAATGCAACATACATGTCTGGGACTCCCTTCCCTACCCTACTGAGTTTTTTACCCCTACTTCCAGAGTCTGTTCGTACATGCAGGTGTACGCTGACATCATTACCAAATGTTCTCAGATGGATAGATTGCCAAATTATCTTAGCAATTGGGCTCCGCTCACGTGCTTTAGCTCCGCAAATAATCAATTTAATACTACATGATCTGTCATTCAAATTCATATATTAGCATATGATAGATTTATATTTTTTCTTGATAGCACAAGTATTTTACTAATTTTTACTTTTTAGGTATAGATTCTTAATTACAATAATATTATATACTTCAATTAATTTCCACACGGCCCCATAAGCTGTTTTAGCTTTAATCTTAAGCATGTTTAAATAATGTTGATGTTATTATTTTCATGGGGAAAAATGTTACAAGTGTAAAAATTACTGTACTGAAGATTATGGTCAAAACAAAGTTATTTGTGTAATCTTGCTTCTGTTTTTTTTTAATGGGGTAAAGTTTGATCTTCAATATTGTTCCCTCTTTGGTACTAAAGTAACAAGTCTGTAGACCATTTAGTTTGAACAGTTTTCTAAGGAAATTTAGACAAAATCATATGCTCATGTGCCCTTTCACTCCAGTGTCATACATGTATGCTTATATTTTAGAGACAAACCCTTTGGTAATTTTTGGTTTAGAACTTTTCAGTTGAGAGTTGTGAATTTACAGTTAAATGGGGGAACCTACAGTGTAGCTCAGAAAACATGTACATGTACATCTTATAGTAGTTTTTTGTTTGCATACGTATTGGTTGCTTATCCCTGAGCTATACTGTTCATTTTGTTACCCACAAGTATACTATATTTACGTATTTTTTATTGAAGGTTTCTCCACTGATGAGACGGAGGCCAAAGCTGGGCATTGGGATTATTTTATCACTTGGTGACAACGAAGAAATGAGCAGGTTAAATTATTGATAAATATAAACATTTATAACAATACTTATGACCCTTTCACTGCTTGAATCAGGAATTATTTGACGAAAAAACATTCAATCACTGTCTGGATTAAATCTTTTAATAAGAAGTGTAATAAATTAGGAACCCTGTAGAAGAAATTTCATGTTGTTATTCCAAAATTAATTTTAAAATTTTTTATCTGTAATTATTACTAGCTACTTCGGAGAGTTAGAGGTTTTTTCCCCATTACATGTAGTTGAATATTCAGGCAATATACATACATGTTTACATACATGTACATTTATTTATCAAACCCAAGAAAGAGTACCTCATTAACATTTCCAAACACTAAAAATTTTAATCAGCTTATAAGTTGAAGCTCATTCAGGCTGCTAATCATGCTATACATGTAGTACTGCAAGGGAAGAAAATGCCCATCAATAATTTACTTAAATGCAAAAATACCACATCCCGCATGTTTAGAAATACTACAATTTTCCAGTTTAATTGTTTTAAGGCTACAATTTACAAAAGAATGCATTAAGAAAACTGTCTAACACTGCAGTGCCCCCTTATTATCATGTTGAAAATTTCCTGGTAAATAAGGTTTATCTTTTTTTAAAATAGGGCTCTTCAAGGTTTCTTCTTTGCACATTTTCCATTGCTTGAGTCACATGTGAAACGGCTACGACTGGCTGTTGAGGATGCTTGCTTCTCAAAAGCCAAATCATTTTCAACTCAAGTGACAGAGGTATGACAACTACATAATAAACCATTCATGTTTATTTTTGGGGGGATCAGTCATTGGATCATATTCTGAAATAAGACTAGGCAGAAATTTTGTGAGTTGCATGTCAACCTTGCTGTGATTTGTGGATGCCTGGAATGCTACAGGCATGTTAATAATAGCAAATTTGAGGCTGTCACAATGCAGTGAATGCCAAAATAGGATATTTTGAGAGTTTATTCCTTTTATTGTCATGCTGGAATAGAAAGTGTTTTGACTTCACAGCGACCAAACTATATAGGTAATGGCTCCAACTATTTGAAGAAGTAAATACATGTAAGGTGAATGTAATACAATGTACCTGCAACTTGAAACGCCAATCTGTCTGTCCGTAAGTGAGTGGTCTATCCTTTAGTGTGGTCTCATTGCATTATCTTGGTGCAGCTTACATTACATAATAGCTTTCAATTAATTACCTTGTTTAATTGTCAAATATCAACAGGCAGTAAGTCGATTCAAAGAGAACATACACAACCTTCTTGCAGCACCACGACTTAAGGTACAGTTCTGTACAGTATTGTTGTGACCTTCTGAAGGTTTTTTAGCAAAGTTGTAGTGGGGGAAACAATCAGGTAGAAGGATGTAACCTGATTGTCACCAAGGTGTTAAAAGCTGGTACTCCAATGGCAGTCATCTCACCACCTTGGTCTAGGAATGAAACAAATGTTAATAGGATCATGATTCAATGTAATGTTTTTTAACTGTAATGTATAAACTATAATTTTTTAAAAAAGTGTTAGTACATATTGCACATTGTTGTAGTTATTAATTTTATTCCTGTTTCATTCTTTTAGGAACCTGTTTGGTTAAACATGATGACTCACTCAGCTCATCGTCCTCATCTCTGTGAAAAATTTATGGTGCAGTTGATTGATTGTCTCAGAGTTGGAAATACCAGGGAAACAAATTTGTAAGCCTTGTGATTCTGTTTATGCAAAACAATTCTTTGTTAAGAGTAGACAACAGATGAAGGATGAAACCCACTTAGCAAAGACATCAAGAAAGGGTATTGTTAAGTGTTTTTTGTTTTTGTTTAGTTTTATGGCAGCAGTCCTGACAGCTGTTTTACAATACCATTTGGCGTGGGTATCAACTGTCATGCCAGCTGGAACAGCCCCTAGCCGGGCTTACCTGGATAAGCATTCTTCAAAAACGGTAAGAATAATTCAGGTTAATCTTTACTTGCATGAGAACTCTCGCTCTTTGCAGGAGTTGGTGTATCCTTAACCCATTCGCCCCTGAACCACCCGAAACCACCCGTGCGGATCCACGTCCTTTGTACCCTTTGTGACGTCATCAGTTTTAACGGTCAAGGACAACTTTGTTCGCTAACTTGTGCAGAGTGAAGAGATCTTTCAAACCATACCAGAATGAGCACAATTCAGTCAAGGACACCGGAGAAAGACGCAAAAAAACCATGTAACATTGACCTGAAAATCTCCATGAAAATCTTGTTCCATTGCTCACCTACCTTTCCTTTCACCTAATCCTAAGATCCTAAACACTTTCCTAAAAACTATTCCCACTCAAATGAAGCCTAATAAATGCCTAGCAAGAGAAAAAAAAATGAGGCAAGAAAAGTGAAAAAACAGGGGAGAAGAGAAAGCGAAAAGTAAAAGTCAGCTGATTATTTTTGCATCTGGATCAGAAGGCCGTCAAGTGTACGACCTGTAAACTGGTTTGTGGTAAGTTTTAGCTCTTTATAGCACGACAGTGACCAGAAAACCACTCGACTAGCTTCAAAACGTGTTCTTAGGCCAAATCTCCAGGAGCGAATGGGTTAAATGTGCTTATGAAAAACAACTACATTGTACTGAGTCCAACATCTCCATCTATAATGTATACACCTCCCCAGTACAGATGCTTCTTGTGGTCCTTGTTAAGGAAGGGAACCTTTTAGTTACGTAACTGTTACCCCTACAATATGGACTCCCTTACCTCTACTGTGTACCTTTTCATGTATATGCTACAGGTCAAATTCAATTTCAGGTTAATTTTGATTTAACTTATGTTGATTCTCAAGTTTTAATGTCTCCTAGCCCTAGAAAACAAAGGAAATTGAGAATCAACCCAGGTTAAAAAAATTTCACCTGAAATCAAATTTTACCTTTAACATATACACTGTACCTCTAATTTGTCAAAGTTAGAGCATCTGAGTCAATTTAATTTCGTTGACCCAAATGTTTATTGGGTGTGGCAAAATTTGATGAAAAGTTTGATGGTTGAACCTGGTCTACAGTTTTACAATGTACATGTATGTAGAGCCAAGTACATTTCTTTTATATTATGTGTTTGTACATTTACATCTCTATTAGTAGATAGAGTTGTGTTAAATCAATAGTGATTTTATTACCCAAAACTAATCAAACTTTCTCTCTTTTTCTGTTGTCTCAAAGCTGGATCTTCTTGCCCAGTCACACCCTTACAATCCATTGTGGGCACAGCTAGGGTAAGCTTCATCGTAAAAGTGGTTTCTGGCAATGCTATAAACCTTGTTAGAGTGAAAACATCAACATAGAGTTTATGGGTAGTGAAGGACACTGCATTATTTCATTCTTACTAGGTATAAGTGATTGGCCCAAATCACAAATGCATCATTTTTATTGAACAAGTATATTACTTTTTTTAAATTATATGAGAAAAAATTTGTCGTACCTAAATTTAAATTTTTAGCTTTCCCGCAAAAGTACTCATGATACAGTACAGTATTGAATACTGTCACCTAAATTGCATGTTTTTTTTTTATTGTGTTACAGTGCCAGGTATTTGCCAGTGTATTTCTGCACTGAAATGAATATTATTCTTTAACACAAAATGGTTGTGAAGCTCCCCAAGGTGTCTTGACAAAAACTTGAATGCCCAGGAAATAAAGATTGAAATTATGGCAGCTAAATTTCATGTGCTATATCAGAAAAAGACAATGCATCAAAACAGCAAAAGAAACATTATCAGTACCCCTCATGATTATTAATTTAACGTTTATTTTTCATGAACATTTAAAACCCCGGCCACTTACATGTAAATGCGCAAAAAAATCAGCACGGCACCCAAAATTTTTGGCATTGTGCTGGCAATTTTTGGGCTCAGCACACACAATAACCAACATGCATCAGTACCAATAGGTAGTGTCTTTCCCAAAAATCACCTGTATGGTGCTAAAAATTTGGAATGTGGTGCCAATTTTTTTGCATGTGTAAATGAAGTTTAGGTTGCAGTACCTGTCTATGACATATTATTTTGACCACATGCTTCCATTAATAGTTACACAGGCAGAATAATTTAAAAATGTTCAGTTCATGAAAATCTTGCCCACTTGTTGATGGCAGTTGATGGCAATAATGCTGAGAGGGGTTTTATATGTTGTGGTTCAATTTTATCCTTGGTTTAAATGTTATTTTCTTTTGTTTCATACTTCATTATCATGTCATTATCATACATAACCATACCAAAAAACAAAAGTAAACAAAATTCAATTTAATGATAAAAATTGCACTACAACATAATATTATATACCTATCATTTTTTTTACTTGCAGGGACTTATACGGTGCTATTGGATTCCCTCTTCGAGTAGCAAAAACAATTGTTGTTGGAAAAGACTCTAAACTTGTTGAGCAAGTGTTAAATATCCTAAGTTACTTTATTAGATGCTCTGAAGTGTTTGAGCATGTACAAAAAAGAGATGTTGGAAGCAAAGATGGTGCAAATGATAGCAGTTCTAATTTAAAAGAAGAAAACAGTTGTTCCCATTGTGGACATTTGCCTCCTGCTGACAAGCAACATTCTAACAAGAGCTCTAGTTTAACAAGTGAAGCTGGAGTCTGCTTTAAATGTAAGCAGAATTGTGGAGGAAAGTGCTTACTGCAAGAACTAAAGGATGGGCAGGATCAAAAGTCTTTATGTGAGCAAACATCTGAACAGTTTCATATTAATGGCTTGTATTGTTCAAAATGTTCAGGAAAAAGCAACAGCTTAAATGCACTGTCTGAAATTGAATTGTCACAATTGAAATGTGTTTGTAACAGTATTTCCATTGGAGGTGTTCAAAAGGAGTTAAAACATTTTGTCAAGGATGGAAATCACTTGAAGTCATTTCGATGCTATTGCTGTGAACATCAAAATAGAAGCAATGTTAATGACATTTTGTCTCATGAAACCAAGGAGAAATGTTTCTGCGATTCAGGTTGTGATGCTGGTAATAATGAGGAGAAACAGGATTTCACAAGGCAACTACATTCTACAGGAAGCTACTGTATAAATTGCTTACAAAACCTGCTTGGACAGTGCAACAATGGCCTTGAAAATCAAGCAAATGGCTCTCTGACAAAATTAAGTCATATTCTTCAAAGAAAAGATGTTATTTTAGGCAGTAATGGGCACAATGACAGTCAGATATCTGAAACAGACAGTTGCCTTTCTGATGATACTGACATAGTCTCAGTGAGAAGCAGTTTGCCAGACTCATGTACTGA